TCTTTTTTTAAATAATGTATACACTATATAAATCTTTTTGTACATGTTTGTATTTACTCTTTTTTTTTTGTTATGATAACTATAAAAATTTTATGAAAATTGCATCAAGAAAATAAAAATTAATTAATTAAAAGATTATAGCAAGAGAGAGTTTAAATTTCCTTGAATGTTTTTTAGATCCACGTAACGGAAGAATATATAAATGCGACATACGATTCCTGTAAAAATGTTGTCGCTCCTAGCAGTGGAAATTTGGCGATGGATTTGGCTTGTGGCTCGCTTGGAGCCAGCAAATGTTCTCCTAAATTGTAAGTAATGAAAATGTGCACATATAATTATATAAGAGATATAGTAAATCGTGAATATAATATAATTTGGTGTGTGCAATTCATAAAAATTCGTAAAAGGTGGTACAAGTACATGGGAGATGTATCCGATAATCCTTTCATACCTTTCCAAATGAACTACGTTTATGACATAGCCGACGAATGGGGCGATGACCCATGGAACTCGGAAACAAAAAAATGCAGCGAATCTTACGACGTAAGTTCGAGAAGTATGAGCTCTTTAAATGGCTCGCCTAAATAGTCATAAGTATTTTGTCGTTATTCTTATTCATCTTAAGTTTGAAATCATCTTTACGTTTTATCAGAATTTATCCATAGCCTGCAGCTGCGTCGACTGTCCTATCGCGTGTCCCTTCGTGAAATTCGAAATTGATTCGAACAATACCTTTATGATCGGCAAATTTAATGGCTACGCCATTATAGCGGCTATACTTGTCGTTGTACTAACAATTGTAGCGAGTTTTGTATACGGCTTATTAATGTGCTGTTGTAAAAAAGGTATGAACAATTTTCTCGAGAAATCGATTTTTCATTAACGCTGGGATTTTTGCAAATTTTGTTTCATATTCGAGTTGCTCATTATTGCAATATATTTGAGCTTCTAGGTTCTTCTGGGATGCCATCGGAAAGAACTGATCGAAACTGTAGTCAGAGATACCAAAAAATCTTTGAAATAGCCTTTGCCGCGTGGGGAAAAGGTAATTACATGTGTTTTTATATAGCTATAATTCTCTTTCAAAAAATATAATTTATTACTAATAAAATTTTCAACAACATAATCTTTCTCCGTTATAATGTAATTTTTAATAAATTTAGATTATATCATACAGTCAACTACGAATAACTACAATTATATTTAAGCCAAAATTATTATCTTTAATAGGTCTCTTTGTCATATTATTACAGAAAATTATGTGTTAAAATAATATGCGGAAAGAATGAATATTTATAAATAAAATTTAATATTATTGACAGCATTCGCCAAGTATCCTGATTACAGCTTGTTTGTGATCTCGTACATCGTTCTCGGTCTCAGTTATGGAATTCATTATCTATCGGTGACAGTGAACCCTATAGAAATATGGGCGGCGCCAAACAGTAGATCGAGAATAGAAAAGGATTATTTTGATAATCACTTTCAGCCATTTTATCGAACCGAGCAGATTTTTATCAAATCCGTTGGTCTCGACACGGTAAGATACTTATTGTGATAATTATGGTAGTAATTACAGTATCATATATAATATAT